TTGATTCATTACACAATTTATTTAAAGATAATAGACGCTGATAGTATTTGATGTCAGTGATTTCCTCCATTCAGCTGCATTCAGCTTTCATCTGCAACTGAAAGAAAATTTAATTTCAGAGTTTCAATACTGAACTACAGTGTTTTAGAAAAAAGAATCAGTGTTTTTTCCTGAACCACCTAAAAGCACAGTGTCTAAGAGCAGATTCACATTTTCCTCTCAATGTTGAATGTGCTTAACTTTTTGCTGTTATAAATGCTAAAATTAAAGAGCAGGAAAAAAAGAAGTCTGAATTACTTACAGTGACAGCTGTAAGCCACCTCCAGGTACTTGTAGGTGCCATAACATGGGTCTCCAAACACAGAGCCGCTCACTTTGACAGTACAGCTGCTTTTCCCGTTACAGCTGTGGATTCAGGCAAAAGTGAGTTGGCAGAGGCCAACTATATGTTGTGTAGAGAAGATATAAGGCTGAAGAAAGAGAGTCGGCAACTGTACCTCTCGGCTACTTTGTTTATTTGCTTTGAGCATTGGACATTTTGGAGCTGAGAGGCTGGACGATTGAAAGAGCATGTAGTTGCATCACGACGTCCGTAATCAGCTCTGTGAATAAGTAAAACCTGTCCTTCACCTGATGAAGAGCAAACATTAAAGATTTAAACACGTATTTAACTTTAACTTCATTTGTATCTTTATCAGATGAATCCAGAGACACACAAAGAAAGAGGAACTGTGCTCTCACCGCACTGAAGGTTTGCCAGAGAATCCTCACATGTCACACTGTGGACTGACAAAGTGACAACAAGGAATATTAGAAACATGGACATTCACAGATTTGACTGAATATTAGTTTCTTATTACAGATGTAATTTACTGGCTGGGAAGCAGGCGTAGGTGGTGTCCACGTATTTGTAAATGCCGTAGCACGGATCAGAAGTACGGAAGAGGTTTGTATTTATTTCACATACCTTCTGACCATCACATCTGCAGGGAGACAAAGGTGGGTTAAAGTGATCAATTAATGATTGATCTAAACTGCTCAGATTTGTTTACCTGCTCTTGACAACCTTCAGGGCGCCAACCTGGGAACATTGTGTATTTTTAAGCTGTTCTGCAGGTCTCCCCTCACTGCAGGTTTCTGCATCTGTCCTTCCGTACAGAACTGACTGCACAATGATCACTCCATTCTCTGTTTTACAGAAAGCATGGGAAAGAACGATGAAGTTCAAAAGGAGGAACTCATGAGAAATGCATAAGGTGTGCAGCACAAGAGGAAAACCCGAGGCTCTTTATGTTTTTCAATAATCAGAAAATGCCTTCATTTCTGTAGATCTGGGGTATTACATTGAATCTGAAAGATCACATGAGTCACAAGCATAAACTGTAGTTTCACTAAATAAAGCACAAAAAGAACCGAAACCTTAACAGGTTATCCTCCTCAGCAAAGTGTTTACTGAGGTCAGAGATCTGCAGGGGGTAAGCAAATTATCTTACAGACATAGAATCAGACTTCTGTTTACAACCAGAGAAGCCGTCTCCTGCTGGAAATGAGAAAGAATTGAGATTACCTCACAACTGGGTTCATATTTGAGTGATAGCAAAGAGCTATAAAAAACCTTAAACATAAAGATTATTTTCATGTTACCACAGCTCAGGCGTTGTACATTGTCGAGGCTGTCACAGGTGATCACCCTCTCGGTTGACACTGGGAAGAGGGCTAAAGGACCAGCTCTAGCAAAGCCTGAAATGGAAAATAACTCCATAATTAGTAAGTCTTGAATAAATTAAGCATACTACAGTAGGGCCTCTATTCATCTGTTTGCTCCTAAAGCAAATATGAACGAATATAAAATATAGCACACCAGGAAGAGGGTGGAGCAGTGATGTAGTGAATATGTGCTAATGCTAGTGCTAATGTAACAGCTAAGCTAATAGCAAACACAGGCAAGGTGGGAAATAACCCCAGTCGACTTAACATCATCTTTGTTATGTATTTGTAATGCTCATCTGAACCTGCTGAGGAATTATTTCCTCTATATCAGTCAGTACATTCATGCACATGATGCTGCCTGCCTGCACACTGATGGTCTTACTAGTTTTCAGTCTCTAAATCCTGCTGCTGTCTCTTCCCAGGTTTGGTGCTGTTGTGTGTGCTGCTGTGTGTTTTATGCCCATGTATGACACGGATGCTAATCAGATAATGTAATAACGTGTATTGTTGGGTTCGTTTAATGAGAAAGAGAAGACAAATATTCTCAAAGTGCATTTTCTCAAATTCATTAAGCAGTTGACGGTTCAAGTCTAAAAAACCCCCAGCTGTTGTGTCTCTCTGCTTCGCTTACGAGACCCAAACCAGTGTTGCCAATTCCTCAGTAAGAAAAATCGCTGTCATAAAAGTCGCTAGAAGTCGGTAAATGACGTCATCGCCTAATTTGCATAATTGGTCAAGCTAATGTAATTGTAACCTACGTTGTTGGGGAGAGAAATAACATCGTGGAAGAGACATAGTGAGACAAGTGAGTAAAAAACATCCTAAATGCATTTAGAATTTATTTAGAACTACAAATTAAATTTCTTTTAGCAATTATTGTTTTTTTAATGTCACAATTCCAACCCTGCTCCTTTATCCGGGCTTGGACCGGCAAAAGTGACCCGAAATAGGCACTCTGGTGGAGTTACTTTGTGTGTGAGAGTGTGTGTTTATAAGTAGTTTTAAACCTTGTGATCCACAAAACAGCATAAGAGTAAAAGAAGAACTGACTGCGTTACAGTCAGTGCGGGAGCAGCGGTCTATGGGCTCAAATTGTGGTCATAAATATTTTGTACTTGTAAATCAGTTTTGTACTTGTAAATCGGGATTTGTATGTTTAAAAATAATTTGTATGTGTAAAAATAATTTGTGTGTGGGTAAAAAAGATTTGTGTGTGGACTTAGCCAAAAAATACATGTGAAACTCTGCACTCAAGTTTCAAGTTACAAGTACGAATTTTGACCCTATTTGTCTTCATTTCATCTGATTGGCCAATGTCATGTCAATCACAAATTTAACTATCCAATCAGAGAACAGATGGGTTTGGCTATTGGAGGGGTGCTGAGTTTCACACGTATTTTTTGGCTAAGTCCACACACACACACACACACACACACCTCCTGATTAACAAGTACAAAATATTTATGACCACAATTTGAGCCCATAGGCTTCGGTCACGCGCAATTAATTTGCAGTTCGACGCATGGGTGTGATCTTCTGCCCTGATAGCAGCTGGGGGAGGACTATCCTCCGCCCGTGAGCGCTTTGGAACGGGCGAGGTGCCCACGGCAGCACCTGTTGCTTGTTGAGAGTAAGAGCGATACGCGCTTTCACATCAAAAAGTCGTCATAAATAAGTCTCCAATAACACCAGAAAAAGTCGCCAGATTTGTCTCTAGTCGCTTTTTAGAAAAAAAGTCGCTCAAAGGGGGCTGAGTCTGTTAGTATCAGAGTGAATCCTATTCTACTAACTATTCTACAATACACTGTGTGCAGTAAAGAATAAAATATGTGATGCTAATTGTGAGATATTAACCTTAAAGATAAAATAAATAAAAACACAATAAGAAAAAATATATATATAAAAATAAATCCCAACAGTATCAGTGTTCTTCTTGAATGAATTCTGAGTAAGTCTCATGTGTAATGTAAATGGCTGAGCATGATGCAGGTGAATCAGAAGTAACTTATGGTAGCGACAATGGGGACGTATCCCTACCGTTTTAATGACTACCAAAAGCTACTACCACTAATTTAACATCAGCTTCACAGGGAAGTATTATTGGTTACTGAAATGTTCCTATCACTCAAGGCCTCAATAAATCAAATAGAGTTTTCAGAGTTTAACTAAAGGATTAATCCCTAATGGTAATGGGACTAAAAACCTATCAGAGGTTCTTGTTGTTAGTGGCTTATCACATTCAAGTATTCACACAGCACAAAATGCACCATACTGTACATAAAGCATAACCAATTTGCAAATCCAGGGTAGCTCTTTGGAAGAAACTTGGAGTATGAAGGAGTCTTAGGGCCACATCAAAAAGAAAAATATTATTGTTCATTTTGAGAGAAAAGAAGAAATGCAATAAACAGATGTAAGAATAGCGATGGATACAGCCCCATGCAGTAAAAAGGGTGGATGTTGTATCACAGACACAATAAGTGCTGAGCATTTGCAATTTAATTTTGAAATTTTGACTGTAATCTCAAAGTGAACAATATTACTTTTTTATGTGATCGTAACACTCCATCGTACTTGAGTGAAAGCACAGAACAATGGGTGCAGGTTATAAACTAATTTATTTAAAAGGGTTTAAATGACTAGTGTGGCTAAAGTATTGGGATAAAAGAAAGGCACATTTGGATAAAAATTGCTGAACTTTTAACAATTATCTGAAGTCATGAGTACACATGTTGCTGCAAGCACTGAAACACAAAAAGGAAACCTCAGTGTTAGATGGTGTGTGAACTACAGCTGATTTATTCATTTATCTTCTGTATTAAGTTAACAGTGTTTCAGGTGGACTTGAATTTACCTCAAAACACAAATGACAATAAAGAAAAACCAAAGAAAAAATGGATGTTAAATACACCACTTACTGATCAAACAAAAATCATATAAATGATACATTAAGAACAACCTTTTGGGTGGAAAGATTTATTTGTACTCACACAGTGTGCTGCTGAGTCTGGAGGACAGCATGGTGTTAAAGCTGGTTTCAGTGAAGAACTGAGCCGATGGTGCAGCAAACCAGGGACCTGATTTATTTATACTGTTTGACTTAGGCAAGATGCCAAATTATTTCTCGTGATCTGCAACATCCTGAAACAGGAAACAGGATTTCACCTTAGATAAACGCCAAAGACAAACAGAATTACACAAACTCAAAGAAGATACATATCTGATGGAAAATTTTGTATCCTGTGACAGTCACGTACCTCGTCCACCACCTCCGGCTGCCAAGGTGCCCCACGCAGCTCCTCCACCTCTTCCCCACTGCTCGGATACACCGGTGTTGATGGCATCAGTGGTGTCAACCTGGGCCGGAGCAGTGCCGCCAGGTTTGTGATCCTCTCCAGATATCGCTCGGTCTGGTACCGCAGCTCCTTCCGCCAGCGGCTCGCCTCTGCTGCCTGCTCCTGGCCATCTTCTCCCTTTCCTGGCTCTGTCGTGGGCCCGCCATGCAGCTTCCTGGGATTCAGCACCAGTGTGGCATGACTGAGGCACAGTGAGTCCACATGTCGGATTTCAGAGCCATTGTATTTGATGCGGCGGCAGCTCACGAGCTACCAGCCACACATACTTCACACCACAACAACAACACCACAAACCCTCATTCCCCTTATTTAAGTCGGTGGGCATAATTATAGATGCC